GGGGGGTGGGAGGTGGGTGGGCTGGCAGGAAAGGGAGAAATGGAGTTTTGTTTTACTTACCGATAAAGCTTTGTGAACTAATTTTATACATTTCTGACAATTTGGTGCCTTGTACCCAATTATGGTTTGCATGGAATTGGAAAGATGAAGGGAAAGGATTCTTTGTCATTTCAAGTGGCAAATGGATCTGTGTAGTGTTTAAATGACATTTGGTACCACAGACTTTTAAGAAGTTATTTCATATCTTGTATGTGAATGCAAATTATTACCAGCAAGTTCTGAAATCTACTGTAATGTCCAAAATCTTTGTATTTGTGATATTCATCAGATGACTGCTTCTCAAGGCAGACTGTCTACCCCTATTTTTTCACACCACACCCCTCCTTATGTTCCAAACATTAGCTCAGGCCTTTTCAAGTCAGGCTGGGAGAGCTACCCCTTCCTAAACACATACTATCGCTATTAGGATTCTGGGGTTCTATTTTATAGAGTGGAGGGGTTGCTTTTCCAGCTGGTTGGGAGAGCACAAATGTTCAGAAAAGGTCTTTTAGTTTTTATCAACACAGTGACTAATGCTTAGCAACTTATGGTAGAAGTCCAACAAAAATGGTTCCTCCTCAAATGGTACCTCTGTTCATTCTAAAGTTCTTTTGCACAAATTTTCAGGAAGCAGTGTAAAAACAATCCCCCACATGTGAACCTTAAGACCGTAAGGCAAACCAGCTCACTATGGAATATGTAAAGGGAATAATGCAAAAGAGAAGGCTCAAAGACTGTCCCAGTCCCCCAGGCCCTTTTCCTGGCAGTGCAGACTGGGATGGAAGTGACTGGAAAGGAAGTGATGAGGCCCAGTCTTCTCACCTGCAGGCCTGTTTATACCATGTTTCTTTTACCTTAAGGTTTCCAGTCCACTGAGCTCATGAGACTTCACCAAAGGGTGTTTAAAAAGTTCACCATTCAAAGTACACTTGATAATTGGGTCTCTCTCAGCTTACTTACTTGCCTAATTAGGTAAGGTTTTATCTTTAGACTAAAATTTCCCACGTCCATTTAGTTTTTTACTGGGTAAGTGTGCACTTCCCTGGTGGTTCAGATTCTTTTAAAATTCAGCACTAAAGCTGAAAAGCACCTTCTAAACATGACTGTGAGTTTAGTTTATATCTTACATGGTTAAATTAACCAGTCTCTTGGTGTAGGGCTTTAATTTTAACCACTGTGTACTTACTTGTTCAACCCACACCTGGTTCTAAATACACCACAGCTACTACAGTATTGAGGCAAGCAGTCATTTTTGTGGCTTCTTTCCATACTTCTGCTGGCATGTTTCCACTTAAAATCTAAGTAGCTAGTACAAGAGATTTTTCTAGTACCATGGGTTAGCTAGCCAGGGCTGGAAGGTGATGTAAAACTGATTTCCCTCAGTGAGAATGTTGTGTTGGCAGTGGTGAATGCCAGCACTTTCATTTACAGAATTAAGGATTATTCATCAAACTGTTGAAAACTGCAGATTTGGTACCTGTATTTGCTAACTTCTTAGCACTTTAAGTTTGAATTAAACCAGTTTAAATGAAGCCTTAACCAACATTGGGTTTAAAAGCCAACCAGCAGTAAACATTATCACTTAAAACTAAAACATTAAATTTTGAGTGAAATTTGAATTACGCTTCCTGGAAGCTGTCATGTCTTAATTCTTGCTGGATTCTGATTTTCATTTTTGGAATTTTTTACCCAATAGAACTGTTCAAAATTGTGAGTAGTTCTGGCAGCAAACTTTAAGGATGTGAATTTCATTCCTATAAAGAACAGGAGGTGCTGGTATTTCTTGTCTTAGCAGTAGTCTGATGCAGGTCTGATGGAGTTTAGAATCTATGCTATGGCTTAAAAGTTTTAATCACCATTTGGGGTGGGGTGGCAGGATGGCTTCAAACCTGAGCCTTGCTCTCGTGTATATGACCCTTCTTCATCATTATACCCAGTTAAGATGTAAAAACTTGGCAGAACATCTGTGGTCCCACTGTAGACTCTAAATGGTCTTGGCCTCATGTTAAGCTAACCACAGACCTGAATTCACACAAGCTCATAGCTTCTTCCTATCAGATAGAATCTATCTGATTAACACCCACAAGAGAATGGAGAATGGTGCTTTAAAAAAAAATTTTTTTTAATGTCATTCTCAAACAGACTTCTTAATGAGATTTAAGCTCACAGGGTCAAAAAAAGAACTATTTTGTCCTGTTTACGTTTCATGAACAGATTTCTAGAGATAACATCTGTCGGCTGTAACAAGAATACTCCTATTAGGCCACTATGATGCATTTATACTGACTCTCCTTTCCAATTCATGTCCTTTAATCACATACTACTTCCATAAGAAACCTGGCACATAAAAGCAGTATTTTTTTTAAAAAAAAAAAAAAAAAAAAGCTTGATAGAGCAAATGGACTAGGAAAAAAACTGCCACGGGGAACCTGTTTTAGAACCAAGAACATACTCAAATTTATACCCATTTCTGAAGAGGGCAGAGAAGCTGGCATTTTGAACCAAGCAGCTCTACTCATCTCCACCTCTTTCCATGCCAGTCTTCCCGTGCCAGTTCCTTACATATTCCATTTCCAAACAATCCAAAGCCCCTGGACAGTGGCACTGCCATCAATTTTAGGGTCAGAAAACATCTATTTTCTTGTGAAGGAAGCAGCTTCCTCAAGCAGAAGTCACTTTGGTGCCCACTGGCCAGGCTTACTTACATCTTCCCTCCATCTGCATATCACTGCCCTCTTCCTGCCACCAAATCCCACTCTATTACAGCAACAATGCCTCCCTGGTGCCTGGAAAACCCACCTAATGCACTAAAATGCTATGCAACACCAAATGGCTTCTTCTCCCAGTACTGCTCAAAAATGAAAACTCCTCAAGAATAAGCTTTCATCCTATGTTAACATCAGTGTATGGTGATTACAGTTTTTTGGGTTTTTTTCCTCCTTTAAAGTGAAACAAGCCACCTCCATTGCAATCCATGTTTGGGGCTTGTTCCTGTCTCATGTGTGAAATTATAAGTCATGTTTTTATGATTTTTGTAAATCTTGACTTTTTACACCTTGTTTTTGTAAACAGAAGTTTCTTATTAAAAGAATAAAATGGCTACCTTTGTGTGCATTCTTTATTTCAAATACTTAAAAAATACTATAGGTTATTCCTCAGGAAAAGAGCAAAGACCACCCCCTGCAGAAACTTAGAAGCTATGTACACAACTTTACACAATAGTGGGCAACACTTTAGCTGAAGCCTGATGCTGACCAGACAACGAAATTCTGAGTGAACCCAACGAAGAAAAGGAAACCAGACAGGGAAGGAAGGTGTCTGAGTCAAACTTCAGTTGCCATCAGGGGAAATCTTGTGGTGGCCACAGAAACGGAGGCTGTTTTTGGAAGGTTCATCAATAGCATAGGGGTTCCATATGTCTGCAGTCAGATAACAATGAGAGGCATTAGTAATGTAAAAGCACTGGAGGGACACTGGCAAGAGAGATTCAAATCCCTTGCAACATCTGGAGACACAATGAACTAGGAATAGCTGAAGGATTTACATCAAGTCCCTTCCCTATATTTCATGAATAGTTGATAAAAATTATTGCTTTTCCTGGCCTCTAAAGACATACAAGAGTAGTGGGTAAGTGCTTACCTACTTGGCTACACCCCTGGCTGAGGTGCCATTAAGTCAATGTCACTCAAGTTCCTGGCCAGCCAAACTCCTGCAGCAAAAAGTCCCAAATTGAGGATCAAGTTCCTGGAAAAGGAATGTAGTCCATTAACCCTATGATCACTCTGTCACTTGTCTTTGGTTTACAAAACATATTGAGGGAAAAGACTTCCATCACTACCCTGGAAAAACCTTTCCGAGGCAAAAGCACTGCTGTAGAACTGCAAGGGGGTTGAGGGTGGGGAGGGTGGTTTGATCGCTACATGTAGGTTGCCCAAGACCCTCATCGGCATTCCGTTTCTGTGCCTATTACGAAAAAGCCAGGCACTGGTCCAGGGACGAAAACCCTACTCGTATGTTTGTCTTCACTCCCCCGGTACCCCTGGTCAGGGTGAGATTCTCTAGTTATGGCTCCGCGACAGGATCGCTTTTGTTGCACAGGAACTCGCCCAGTCAAGGACCTCAACAAAGCACTGCCAGAGCCACGAAGAGGCCACGATGTTGGCAATGTAAAAAGCGCAGTGGCGCCAGGGCGGGCGAAGAGGGGGATGTACAAGCGCTTGGGGTCAGAGGGATCAAACCTCCCCCCCATCCCGACCTCAGTTACCTCCGGAAATCATTCCTATCTGTGGCAAAGCGGTAAACGCCCCGAAGCCAATCTCCCACGTTGTCTGGCATTTCGGGAGTTTCATTCGCCGGTCCCTTTGCGTTCCCACTGACCCCGCTGGAAGCCATAGTGGCACCTTCAGGTTCCGCACTGGACTCGCACGACGCACGGTACTGGCGCCTGTGGATCACGCATTTCCGGTCTGACACTTCCGCCGGCCACTTGCCTGCAGAGGGCGCTGCCGCCGGAGTTTGGACTCAAGAAGTATACTGGGGCTGCGCGTCCACGAGCTCCGCAAGGGGAGGAGCGCGGCCTAGCTACGCTGTCTCCAGCTCCGAGTGCACCTCCGTCTCCCTCTTGGCCTCCGGCCCTCCAGCCGGTCACCGGCACACGTGGTCTCTGAGGGGTTACTTTACTGGCTCAAGAGGAGCATGCTGGGGGAAGAGGCTTTCCCGGACCGTGGCGGGTGGAGCTGAATCAGTAGGGGATGTGTAGTTTGGGGCGGATGAGGTTCCAAAGTCTCCATCAAAAGTTGTAGAACGCGTGGGGATAAGGAGAGTACCCCAAGTTTGTCGCCTCGCCACCTCTCCCAGGCATGCTCCTGATTGCATTCAGTCTAGGATTTTTCTAGGGCGAGGAGGGCCTTGCTCTGCCGTCTTACACACCACCCTCCTCACCCTTGGTTGCACCACTAGCAAATGATGCATGGCTTCCCAGAGGTGTCGCTGTTCCTAGCTTGAAGACTGCCGGGGGTCTCTCCTGGCCGCGGAAGGCGCTGGCCTAAAAAAAAGCCCTCGGGTTCGGAGTCAGAGGAGGAGGAGCAGGTGGGGCAGAGGGCGTCCTCCTTGGGACCAGAGGGCGTCTCCAAACGGCCTTGCGCGCACCCTTTGGGTGCCTCCGCCACGTTCTCAGCTCGACATTCCTCCAGGGGGCTGGATCCCAACCGCCTCCTCTGGGTCTCCAGGCTGGAGCTGGCGGCCGCGGCGAGGAGGGCTGCTCGGGAGTTGGTCACGGCGTTCAGCGGGGCGCAGTCCCCTCCTTCAACCCAGTTGGGCTCCGACACCCCTGTTGCGGGCCAGGTCAGAAGCGTGCATCTCAGGGCTCTGAGCTCCCGGCAGGGCGCTCCACAGCAGCCGGCACCGCGCTGGGCCCAGCCTCCCGCCCCGCCCCCGGCTCGTGCACGCCGCCGCCGCGGCCTCGAGTCCTCTCCGGGGCTCCCCGCCCCTCCGCCTCAGCCCACTAGAGGGCGGCCGCGTCCCCGGCCCGGGAGCGAGTCCGGCGCTGCAGCCCCGACCGTGGCGTGGGGTGGGTTCTGGAGGCCCTTGGAGCATTCTGGCCAGGGACGCGCGGTGAGAGCTGCGGGCCCCGAGGCTTGGGTCTGGGGGGCTGCGGTGGGGGGACTGGGGCGCTGCTGGAGGGACGGGTCGGCGCGGGACCCGGGCGAGGGTCCCAGCCCGGGAGAACCCCCTCCTCAGTCCAGCCTAAGTCGCCGCCCCCTGTTCCTTTGATCTACACCTTCTCCCTTACCGAGGGGCGCCCTTCCTTCCAGTGGCGGGGCTGGGCTCGAGTCTGCATTGGAGTAGCGGCTCTTGAAGCAGCTGGGGCAACAGGGGCTGCCCCCCGGCAGGGCATAATGACCCCCGCCCAAGGGCCCGGCGCAGTCCTGGCAGCAGAAGTGGCTCTCGTGCCAGCGCCTCCCCTCCGCCTCGGTACAGCGCTGGGAGAAGATCAGCTGGGAGAGGGAGAGGGGAACGGTTCATTCATTCATTCACTCATTTATTCATCCAATAACCACGCCTTATACCCAGTTAACGCTAAAGCACGTCGACAGACATTCCCATTTGATCTCCCCAACCAGTCTGGGACGCAGGGAGGGCTGATTGGCTCAGCCAGGATCCCGCAACTAGTAGGTGGCACAGCGTGAAGTGCAACCCCGGCCGCCTGGACTTACAACCCAGGGCTCTGTGCTGTCTCTTATGCCGACGTTAAGGGAGTTTCTAGCATGATCAAGCACCGCGTTGAGTACCCAGCATTTCGAGATGAACTGGACAGTCTTTGCTCTGGAGAAATTATCTGGGTCCAAGAAAACTTAAGGGAGTCTTGCTTGCGGTGGGGAAGGGCGCTGTTAAAGGCAGCAGGTTCCACTTCCCCAGAGCTCAAGTCAGAGCACAAGGAACAGAGCAGTCCCAGGCTGGTTCCTAGTTCTCTTTAACCCACTCCGACGTACTGGGAGAGGCTGCGGCCTAGGAGGGTGTCCCCTTACATCCTTCTAGGCTGGACCCTGGGGCTGTACCTGGTCGCAAGCTGGACAGCGCGGCCGCAGCAACTCAGCATGATGACGGCCGCAGTAGAGACGCCCATCGTGGTAGAAGTAGATGAGGTTTATCAGGGCCTGGCCGCAGGCCTGGCAGGCGAAGCAGGGCGGGTGCCAGCAGCGCCACTCCCCGGCCCGGGCTGCGAACACCCCGTACTCCCCGGGCCTCAGCAGCTCCCTGCACTGCCGGGCGGGGGCGCTGGGCAGGTCAGATCGCCACCACCTGCCCACCTTCCCGCTGGGCTCATCTGTGCCTCTCTCCCAATCCCAACCTAATTCTGCTTTTCCCCACTGCAGGCTCCACCAAGAACCCCCAAACTTGGTTTCTCTTTCCCCTAAAGTTAGCCCTTTCCCTAAGCCCCTTTCCCAACAGAGTCCCAGTAGATAGCCCCTTCTGGAGAAGTGAGAGAGCAAGGAGTGGAGGAAAGGGAATGTTTGGCGGTGGGGAAGACTACTACCTTCTCACAGGTGCGTCCTTCAAGCTTGGGAGGCAGCAGGCGGGCCACCCCCTGTCCTAGGGCCTCCCGCCTCCGCTGGGCACAGAAGAGCCTCAACTCTGCCAGCTCCTCCTCCCCAAGGGCCAGGCAGTAGCGCTCCTGCAGAAACAGACCTCTCCTGTGACTGGGAGAGCCCCACAGGCAGGACTGTGTTTGGAGAAAGAAGGTTTAGCTGCTGGGTCAGAGGAAGGCTGTAGACCTCAGGGAGGTGCAGGAGATAACAGCGTAGAAGGGCATTGAGAAGGAGAGCAAAAGAGGGAAAGAAGCTCATGTAGGTCCACCTCAGTCTCACTTCCCTCAGATCCTCACAGTCCGGTAGCACTTAGCCCTGTCACCTTATATTTAGGTCTTTGCTCCCAATGAACTATAGCTCAATATCACTCCCTGTACTGATTTCTCTAATTATTTCATATACTCCCACCCTCCCAATTGAATTGTAAGCCTTTAGGCTGGGCACACGTAGGGGTTCAATAAAAACTTAACAACCGTATTCTCTACATTTGTACATCCCATTATTGGTTTCAAAAGTCGTTCATGTCCATATCCTCATTTGATCTTCAGCTAAGCACGGTGGTGGGCAGAAAAAATGCTATTTCACCCATCATGTAGATGTGGAAATGTAGGCTGGGGAGGGGGTGACTCCCTCCAACTAGTGGCAGAGTGGGGCCTTGGATCCATGTCTAACTTCTGGACCAAGGTTCTTCCCACAGTAAGTTAAGAGAGAAAGGGAAAGAGAGGGAAGATGGGAAGAGGGAGACCCACATCGCTGTCCTGTGGAGGGAGCTGTTGCAGAAGGGTGCGAAGCCCAGGCCAGCTGGGGGCTGGGTTGGTGTCCAGGTGAGAGGGCCCCAAGCTCAGAACTGCAGGACCCTGAGGAGACATGGCAGAAGGTGAAGAGTGGAGCTAGGTTTTTCCTTTTCTTTCGCTTCTTCCCTCCCCTCCTCATTGCCACCTGACCAATCTAGAACAAATTCTAAGCCCTCGTTCTCTACATTTGGAGGATCCTCTTTCAAGATAGCTGAGAGCAAGGATAGCTGATCCACGCCTGCATTTATGTCTGATTTGAGGGAGGTTGGGAAGGTCCCATACCCCACAACAGCTTCTGTTCTTATGCCTGAAACCACCCTTTTCTTCCCGTCTGAGTCTGTTTTTACAACAGATCCTCTAGGAGGGTATATTTATGTGAATGAATCTAAAATCAAATCTCATGTCTTGAGAGGTCTGCAGGATTCCTGAAAAGAGAAAAGGGCCACAAGAGGTTGGGCACAAAGACAAACCACCTCCCAGTCAATGGAAAGGGGAGGAGGTCCAAACGATAGAGAACCTGTTGGTCTCAGAGGAGAGGGTGGGGCTTTTACTACCTGAGTAGAGGTGTCCCCTGGGTGCTCCTCTGGCAGGTGGCCTGAGTCACTGTCTGAGTTGGCTGGTGGGTCTGGCTTTTTGAGGGTGGGGCTCTCCTCTTTGTGGGACCAGGCCGATTTCAGCACTGACATTGTTGGCAAAGTCTGTGCAATGACAATAAGAACACTTCCCTTTTATTGGGCCATTACAGTGTGCCAGGTATTGCTAAGTGCTTCACAGGCATCATTATGTCATCCAGTCCTCCCAACAACCAGATGAGTTAGGTGGTATTGTCTCCATTTTACAGATGGCCAAACCGAGGCTCAGTGAACATACACACAAGGTCATGCAGCTTGTCAGTGGCAGAGCCAGGTCTTGAGGCCAGGCCTTTCTGCTCCAGAGTTTCTAAAGCTCAAACTTTAGGGTCTTCCAAGATTCAGATGGAAGAAAAAAGAGGCCCACAGTTGAAGGAGAGGGCATTTTGCCCTTCTGGTGAGCTTTGGAGCTGGCTGGCCCCTTCCTCCCCACCTCCCCAGACTTAACTTCCACCATTCCTCATCTTGCACTCACCACACTAGTGAGCCTGTTTCCTCACTGCTCCCTACATGGGCCCCATTTTTCCAGCTGTAGGCTTGGGCCTGCTTAAAGGACCACCTCACCAGAAAGCCCTCCTCAGCCTTTCTGGCCCATACCCTCTCCCTTCCCTGAGCTTCAGTAGCAAGTTCAATTGGTTCCCCCAAGATTTAGCACCTAATGTTTCCCTCTTTTCAATGTGTCTCTCTAAGCTCCTCATCTAGTCTATAAACTCAAGGGCAGAGGAAAATCTTGTGCTTCTATCTATAGTAATTTCATTGGGTAATTATATGCACATCTCTTCAGCTCTCCTCTGGGCAAGCCTGATACACCCATAGTATCTGCTAGGGGTGGAGGAGTCGGCTACTGAGGTAGAGAAGAGATGGGCCCTGATCTCAAGCAGCTCATTGTCCTATGGTGGGCGGGGGGACAGATGAAACCAGGCAGAATGGGGAGCTCTGGGCAGGTATACATAGCATCCTGGTATAAAATAACCAGAGCAAATTTTTCTGTAACATTTACACTGTACCAGGGACTACTCTAGCATTTTATATAATACAACCTGACAACAATCCTATGAGGTACTTTCTGCATTCCCATTTTACAGTTAAAAAAACAAACTTAAGTTAATTAACTTGCCCAAGGGCCACATAAGAAAACTAAGGAAAGCTTTAGGAGGAGGTTGCCTCTGAGAGCTGGGATGGACTCTGACAGCAGGCCAGGCACAAGGAGGGCCATCCCCAAATCCCTGGCCTCCATAAACCTCAGCTTTGGGTCAGGACCAGGGTTTGGACCAACCAAAAACCGAACCTGTTGCCATCCAGTCGATTCCAATTCATAGTGACCCTACAGGACAGAGTAGAACTGCCCCAAAGGGTTTCCAAGGAACAGCTGGTAGATTCGAACTTCCAACCTTTTGGTTAGCAGCTAAATGCTTAACCACTATGCCACCAGGGCTCTAGGGTTTTGACCATGATAGTTACATTGCTTTGCAGCCCTGAGTCCCCCTTAGCCCCCTTTCAGATGTCCTGTGCCACCCTTCCCTCCTTCCTGGCTCCACACCCACCTGCTTGCCTCCTTCCTGTTCTGTCCTTCCGCCAGGTTTCCTGTGGAAGGATACTGGGATGGGCTGTTCACACTGAGGGACAGGAGTAGCCATTTCCCCTAGCAGTACGCAGCAAGGCGGGGGTGGGGGGGGATGGGGGTGGGGTGGTTGTTTGGCAAAGGAAGGAGGGGCATCGGGGCCCCAGAGAGTGGCGTGCACCCTCTCTTCCCCATTAGCTCTAGTTTGCATGGAATTGTCACAGAAACAACGCCTAGAAATTGGCCCTCTACCCCCACCCTGTTTCCCCACCTCACACAGGGCAACTCCACCATGGCCTAGCACTTGAACTCACCTTACTAACCTGCCATATTCCTTCCACAATTCCCCTGTACTCCATAAGGGACAGGACTGAACCCCCTCCTCCGTCCTCGCGCAGGTGTACCCGGGCTCAGGAGCTCGACCTCCCCAATCCACCCCTGTCCAGGAGGGCAGAGCCCAAGAGGCCCTGGGAACTGGAGGAGGGTGGGAAGGTATTCCCAGACAGTGGGATGGAGAAGAGATGGGCGTCCGGTCCCAACAAGTATCCTCCCTCGCCCTCTCCACAGATCCCCTAAGTTTTTCTTGGACTTCGCGGGGCCCACCCCCAGGACGGGGACGCAATGTGGCGCCTGTGTCTGCTGGGGCTCCCAGTCTAGCAGCTGGAAGTTTAGAGGAGGGGCAAGGGCTACGCTGGGGTCTCACCCTCGCCGCGCGCCGGTGTCCGGGTGGTTCTGGACAGACCTCGCCGTGTGGCCCCTCACCCAGTCCCCACCCCGAGGCCTCAGCGCCCGCCTCTGCCCGCCCCGGTAGCGCGGCCCTTCCTCTCCCACAGCTTCCGCGGCTCCAGCCTGCCCACCCCTCCCGGGCTGGAAGAGAGGGGCAGTTCAGGGAGGGGCCCGCAGTTGCAAACAGAAGGAAAAGCATTTGTGGGGTCTCAGGGTGGAAAGAGTGCAGGCTCCACGGCCCTCAGCCATGGGCCTAGTGCCGGGATCGCGCCCCCGAGGGCGCGGAGCAGACACCCCAGAGGAGCGTTTGTACTGGGTTCTCGGCCATTCGCTTCACAGAAACGCCTTCCTGCGCTAGCAGCCCCTTCTATAGTGTTCTCAGGTCCCCCCAGACTCTCCCGCTGGTCTCCTAGCCCCGCCCCTTTCCTGAGGCCCACCCCCCTGCTCCCACTCCCTCTCTCTAGTCCCCAGTGGGCCCTCCGCCCATTCTCTTCTCAGCCCCTTTCCTGGGTCCCTCTTCCCCGTCCTTTCCTCTTCTCTCCCTCCAGTCTACTCCTCTATCCTTTGTGTTTCTCCCCCCGCCCTCCTCGCCCGACTAACTCAGTCGCTTTCCCGCTCCCGGGAGAAAGCCTCACTCTCTGGCCCGCCCCGCGCCCCGCCCCGCCCCGCCCCTCTCCCCCGGCCCCACTCCCGTCAGGCTCCTTCAGCGAGCGGCTGGCCGGGAGCGCCCTCTGGTGTCTGCGCATGCTCCCTGCTCGTGACTGCAAAGTCCTCCAAAGGGACCTTCTAGGCTGCCCGCCCGTCTCCCGCGTTCGGTTTCGCCCGCCCGCAGCGTCTCGTTGGTGCTGCCGGGTGACCTCCGAACCCGCGGCTGCGGGGCGGGGCGGCCTTAGCTCCGGGCGGGCGGCGGCTGCTGCAACGGGACCCGGGAGCGGGGCCCGGCGCCGCCCGGGCCGCGGGGCGATGTGAGTCGGGCGCGGCAGGGTGGGGACGAGGCGGCTCCGCTGAGACCGCGCCGCGCCGCAGTCTCCGCTCCCACCGTAGGAAGCCCCGGGCGGACTGGCGGTGGAGCCCCGGGGCTGGGGGCGGGGATCCAGGGACAACGCGCGGCCCCACCTCCCCCATTCCTACCCGACGTCTAGAAATTCCCCTGATTACCCTCCAACCTAAATCTTCCTCTCACACCCCAGGAAATCACCGCGGCCCCCTCCCCCGGTACACTGGCACACCATCGCATCTCTTGGAACCCCTCAGAGCTCTCTTACTCCTTCTGCGAATTCCCCTGATAACGCCCACATACCCACCATTCTCTCCTGGATGCCCCCAAGTGTTTCCACCGCCCGGAAATTCCTCTGGTCCCTCATACCCCCCATTCTTGCACGATCCCTAAAACCAAAAATCTTTCCCACGTTCCCCCAAACCCCTTCATCCATCCTGAGTCCTCCTCATCCCCTTTAACTCCTGCGCTTACTCCACACCTATCCCAGACCAGAGCCTCCCCCCTCCCCCCATCCCGCCCTTTGTAATTCCCCTCATTGGGCTGAGGATATGTCCTGATATCTTGGAAATGGGGAACAGAAAAGGCACCCTATAGTTAGTCCTTGGTTTCACCCGATAATCCCGGTTGGTGGCTTAAACCCCAATATTTTTGTGCACTTTACTCAGCCTGCTTCCTCCTTCCAGAGAATAAGCCAGACCAAGAAGTTGGGGGGTCCTTTTACCTGGGAAGTTGTCCAAGGATGCCAGCTGGCAGGGGCCCTGGGAGCTGATATTGTTGACCGGAGCAGGCGGGTAGGATTTCAAGGGTCTCCAGGGTCCTGGCTTGTCAGCTTGTCTGCCTGGGGCTCAGATGCCTTGAAATATTGGTTTGTTATTATCATTATATTAAAATTTTAGGCCCTTCAGAGCTTGAGAAATAGAAAGTCTATCAAGCTCTCAAATGTAAGATTGAAGGAGCCTGTCCTAAAAGAGGAAAATGTTGATTTTATTGATCTTTGTCCTAAACACTTACCTTTAGAAGTTATTTAGGCTAGAAGCTCCATGGTTTACAAGTGTTTCTATGTAGAAACTAAAGCTTTGAGGTGGGGAGGGGATATGGGTAGGGGATTGACTTGACAGTCTCCTGGAGACTTAGTAGCAACAAAACAGACTAGAATATTGGTTTCCTGAATCTTAAGCCAGTGCTCTTTCCAACACATCTTAGTGTCATTTTGAGAACGCGCTTTGTAGAGTTAAAGTTCTCTGCAAAGGTAGAGTGGTGTTTTTGGTGTTGGTTTTAAGAGGATTCCGAGGGAGTCGAGAGGTGACTTAAAAGGTCTTGGGCTGTCTCAGACTTCAAACTCACTGATGCTAGGGGAGTCTCTCCCTCTCAGGGCCTCTGGGGCTTGGAATCTGTGATGCCAGTGGCCTTTCTTCATTGATGTTTCTGTTCCATTAGGACCTGGAACAGATATTCTAGGACCAACAACCAAAAAAAAAAAAAAAAACCAAACCTGTTGCCGTGGAGTCGATTCCAACTTATAGCGACCCTGTACAACAGGTCAGTTTTATTAACAAGGGTGAGGATGGAAAGTTTCTACTAACCTACGGTCTTTGTCTCCTATGCTAGGTGAGCCCCAGGCGTGTCCTAGAGGGATCCAGGTCACTTCTTGGCTGACTGCTTGCCATGACACTCCACCAAGGACGGGGAGAATAAAGTGGGGCCCTTCCCCATGCCCCTTCCATGGTCAGCTCCCCGATGGCCTGGGTGAGGTAAGAGCTGTGTGTAGAAGCTGGTTTTCTGGAATTTCCCAAGTTGGGAGGAATGGAGGGTACAGGTCACTGGCTCATTCAGTGGAGGTTTAGAAGGATATCTAACTCACAGACTCACTTCTTGCATCAAGTTGCAACCCCTTAACTTCTGGTTGGTACCAGGCCATATGTTCGCCTGTTCCCTTAGATCACTCAAGCCTGAGTGGGACCTCTTCATCCTTGGCACAGGCTTGACTGTTGTTATATAATCCGAGTACCATAATCCTAGAGGGAAAAACCAAATAGTAAGGCCTCTGGTCTTATTCAGACAAAGGGGAGCAAACCCAGTACTTGTCGTTTTAATAAGATATACCAAATCAAGGTTATAAAAACCATGCTCTGTTCTAAACGTTCAATCTTCTCACTGTGTCTTTGTGATCATAATGTAATACTTGTTTGAAGAGAACCTCACAGAAATAAATTTGAGGTAGATGTTGGGAAAGTGATGAGGGAAGAAAAGAGTGAACTTAGATGGTGTGGGATGGGTGCAGTTAAAAAGGAGGAAAAAAGAGAAAGATACAGACCTAAGTGGCTGAGACTCCCAGGTTACAGCATCTTTGCTGAATCTGGGTGAGGGCCCCAGGCTTGCACCCATCTCCTTCTGATGCAGGTCACTTCTTCTGGATCCTTTTATCCATGCTTTTCCTGCTGCCTGTCGTTGTTGTTAGCTACCATCAAGTTGGCCCCCAACTCATGGTGACCCCCTGCACAACATAACTCAACTCTGCCCAGTCCTGCGCCATCCTCATGGTTGGTTGTGGATTGGAGTATTGTGATCCATAGGGTTTTCACTGGCTGATTTTTGGAAGTAGATCACCAGGCCTTTATTCCTAGTCCTTCTTAGTCTGGAAGTGCTGCTGAAATCTGTTTAGCATCATAGCAATACACAAGCCTCCACAGGTCAAAATCCTACATACCTCTCAAGGTCCAGATCAAATGTGACCTCTGAGAAGCTCTCTCTGTCCTTCCCTCAGCATTAATCCTTAAGGCATTCTAACCTGAATTAATGTTTATCCAATGTGTGCCTGGCCCTGGATTGAGAGAGTGAATTCCTTGAGAGAAGAACTGTTGTAACAGCCCCTTGGACAGAGCATATGATCACAAGAAGTGGTTCTGTTGGCATTCCCCAGAGCAGAGTGTTTTGGAGCGGCCCTTGATGACCTGCCTGTACCTTATGTTTTTCCCTAGGGTAGGCTGGCTGCTCTGACACCATGGGGAGCTGCTGCAGCTGCCTGAACAGAGACAGCATCCTAGACAACCACCCCACCAAGTTCAAGGTACCCACAGCTGCCTCCTCTCCCACGTTCCCAACATGGCCTCCTGGGCTCAGACCATGCAATTGAGTTGCCTCAGCTTCCCTGGAAGAGGTGAAGTGACAGGCTGAGGTTGTGGGCTCAGAAAGACTTCTCCAGCTCAGGGCCTCTGAGATGGCCTGAGGAAAACAGGCCCAGGCCACTGCTGCTTTTGTAGCCCATGTACTACCAAGAATGAAGAAATGCCATAGTATGGTAGCAAAAATAGTGCTTTTAGGACATCCACTCCTATCAGTGCATCTCTGTAACTTTAAACCCGTTACGCCAGTTGTCATCGAATTGACTCCAACTCATGGCGATCCTATGTATGTCAGAGCAGAACTATGCTCCATAGGGTTTACAATGGCTGATTTTTTGAAAGTAGACTGCCAGGTCTTTCTTCTGAAATGCCTCTGGGTGGACTCGAACCTCCAACCTTTCAGTTAGCAGCTGAGCACGTTAACCGCTTGCACCTCCCAGGGACTGTGCTGTAACTTTACATGTAACTTTGGGAGAAGACAGCAAAGGTCTAAATTTGTGAGTTAGTATGTGTAAAGCGTGAGGAATGGTAGGAGTTATGGCTGGAGAGGTGGGGAGGAAGCGGCCAGCTGGCCCAGAGGCTCACCAGAAAGGTAAAATGCCCTTTCCTTCCACTGTGGGTCTCCACTTTTCTCCATACCAGTCTTGGGAGACATGAGAGTTTGAGCTTCAGAAGCTCTGGAGCAGAAAGGCCTAACCTCAAGACCTGCCTCTGCCCTTTCTAGGTTACATTTGTGAGTTAATACATGTAAAGTGTTCACAGTAGGGCTTTGCCTATGGTAAGTATTGTGTATGTGTTTTCTGTTTGCTTTGGGAAGCTAAGGCCAGGCCCAATGGACCTCTACATCCCTGCTCTGCCACCTCTTACCTCCCTGTAGGGGGAGCCCCCTCTTCACACCATGGCATGTTGTAAAAACCCATGGCCATCAGGTCAATTCCGACTCACAGCAACCCTATAGGATGGAGTAGAACTGCCTCGTAGGGTTTCCAAGGAACTGCTGGTGGATTTAAACTACCGACCTTTTGGTTACCAGCTGAGCTCTTAACCACTGAGCCACCGGGGCTCCCTGGCATGTTAAGGCAGAGATTTTTCTTGCCCGCCAGAAGAGAGTGCCCTCAGCAAGGCCATACAGTGGGAAGGTGGTATTTATCTGTTCTGCCTTGGACTTGACCCACCCAAGGTTTTAAGATTTTGAACTTAAAACAGCTGAACCCTCTTCCCCATTGACGTCTGGTCCTTGGGTACTAAGCCATGGGGCATCCGAGGTCATCTAACCTTGGTCATCTAACTGTTGGACCTTGGATGTCATTTACTCAGTCCTCCCCTTGCTGCCCAAATGAGGGAAACTGAGGCCCAGTGAGAAGGGATTTGCCCAGAGAACTGCAGTGGGTTGTCCGCACTTCTTTGCACATCCCCTAGTCATCACGTGGCCCTTAATAGCGTCTGTGGCATGGCCAGGTGAGACCCTCAGTCCCCCAGCTTCAGCCCTGCATTAATAACCTAACCCCAAGTTAAGCTCAGCTTTGACCCTCTGTTCCTTTCTCCCCAGGTGACAAATGTGGATGATGAGGGGGTGGAGCTGGGCTCCGGGGTGATGGAGCTGACACAGAGTGAGCTGGTGCTGCACCTGCATCGGCGTGAGGCTGTCCGCTGGCCCTACCTCTGCCTGCGCCGCTACGGCTATGACTCCAACCTCTTTTCCTTTGAGAGTGGCCGCCGGTGTCAAACGGGCCAGGGTGAGTACCAGCCCCTGCCCCATCCTGGGATAGGGGCTTGTGCACCTGGGGCCAGAAGACACAGCTCAGGTGACTGATGAAGTCTTTTGTGGAAATTGAGAATGGGCCTTAACATCAAACCAGCCCTCAGACTTGGCAGCTGTTGCCCAAGAGGGGAAGGGTGTTAGCCAAGGGCACACAGCATGTTAATTGCAGAACTAAGTGGACTCCCAGGCCAGTGCTCTTTCTCTTCAGTCACTGCAGCTCCAGCCTGGGTCCCTTTGCACCTGACGTGTATTGCACAGCCCATGGGAAAGGGTCAGTGCTCCCAGGCAGGAGCCTGCCAGGCAAAAGCAAGTGACTCCTCCTTCCTCTCTTACTCCATTCTCAAGGGTCCCTGTTGCCTGCTTAAGTAGAAGTCACCCTGGGCCCCGTGAATAATGAAAGATCGGGGGGAAGGCTCTGGTTGCCGTCGGGGGTCAAGTGGCTAGGGGATGAGAGATTTGGGGAGGCAGGATTTTTGGGTCTCTACAGATTAATCCTCTAGAGGTTAATCTTTGTCCCCACCTCACCTGTGGGCATTGGGGTGTGAGGTATCCTCCCTTCCTCCCCTCTCTGTAGCCAGAGGTCAAGGAATGGTGAGGTTGTTCATGAGGTCAAGGCTGGAGCCAGCCATGGCTCTTTAAGGGGCTGCGTGGCCTGGGCTTGTCTTTTAGGATCTAGACATAAGCTCTGCCAAAGGAATCTTGCATAGCGTTGTGTTAAACGCAGTTTGGGACTGAATATGCAGAGGTGGAATGAACCAGCTTTTGTGAGGAGGCTGCTAACAAAACAATGAGTCTCTGGGTGTGTGTTTGTTGGAGGAGCCTCCCCCTCCATGCATCTTACCATTGGAGCTCGTGAGGCAGAGGTATCTCATGTTGGCTGAGCAGAGAGGGGAGGAAGAAGGCTTCTCTGCTGCTGGTGGTGTTGGATCCACACTTGGGATCCCAGAGGGGTTGCCCTAGGCCCCAACACTGACCAAAGCCAGTTGTTGGCAAGTGGATCCTGACTCATGGTGACGCCGTGTGTGTCAGGGTAGAGCTGTGCTCCGTAGGGTTTTCAATGGCTGATTTTTCAGAAGTAGATCACCAGGGCTTTTTTCCAAGGTGCCTCTGGGTGGACTTGAAACTCCAACCTTTCGGTTAACAGATGAGCGCGTTAACTGTTTGTACCACCCAGGGACTCCAGGCCCCAACACGGGTGCTCCTCAGCCTTTTCTAGCCCTTGCCATATCTTGCCAGGATAGTCTTTTCTCTTCCCCTATATATTTCACATCCCATTCGTGCAAACCATAGGTGCCCCGTCTCCCCAGCCTCGTTGTATTTGTCTTTGTTGTGGATATGTGCGCATGCACACAACAAGTAGCTCCGCAAGTGCCAGCTCCCACTGTCGCAGGGGGCGTGTAGAATCCCAGGCTGGCCCAACACCCCAGCCCAGTCCTGCTGTCCCCAGGGACTTTGAGGAGCTGCATCAGAGTGAGGGGCTCTAAGGTCGGCATCATTGAGGAGCCACGCAGATTCTTGCCACATTGTCCTTTCATTAGTCTGCCCAGCCTTTCTTCCTTTCTGCACTAGAGTTGAAGCTTCAAGAGGGCAAGGACCTACACAGAGGTGGCATTCACTCTGTGGCCAGGCACTAGGCCAAGTACCCAGTGAACAAGCAGTGGACTGGACAGACCCTCCTGCCCTCAAAGAGCTTAGAGTCTATCGGGCACAGAACTGAGCACTGGTTCCCTGGATGGAGCTCACTTTTTTGGGTGCAGGGGCTGGTGGGCCAAGGAAGATGGGGGCATTATGTGGTGCTGGAATGGTCCCTCAGCTAATGCTATTCTTTTCCACTTGACTTTTTACTTCTCTTCCCCTCACCCCTGCACACACATGGACATTCGTGTTGGAATGATTTAGCCTCAGAAGGAATATAGCTGAAGTGTGAGATCTAAAGACAATGGTAATGAATAGTGCAGGTGGGGGCAGGGGGCCCTGGGCACAGCTCCCCCAGTAGCTCTTGGGACTCTGGGGGCTGACTGGGAAGAGTGCTCAGGAGGAGGAGAGGCTGGAGTTCAGGGATGTTTTCTGAGTTGGTATATCTGTTGAGTTCCTTGGGTCCTTTCCTACTGGACACAGGGTAAGAGGGCCTCACTTCTTCCTCTCCCCTTGCAGGGATATTTGCATTCAAGTGTTCCCGCGCTGAGGATATCTTCAACCTCCTTCAGGATCTGATGCAGTGCAACAGCATCAATGTGATGGAAGAACCCGTCATCATCACCCGCAACAGCCACCCCGGGGAGCTTGACCTCCCTCGGGCCCCCCAGCCTCCCAGCAGTGAGTAGCTCCCACCCTCATACCCCAATACCCACGCACATACACATGCTTGGGAAGCACGAGTCTTGGAAGTCCAAGAGTCCAGTGGCAAGCAGGGCGATGCTGGCTGAGCCAGCCCTTTAGGACAGTTGTCCATCCATCATCAGAAGCACTCTTGGAGTGGATAAGTCCTGGGCTAGGTTGTTCAGGTGACTCAAGCTGAGGCTGTAGAGGCCTGGACCTCATATCAATGGATGGTCGGGAGCAGACAGAAAGACAGGTTTCCATGGAAACGACAGTCTGAGCTTCTTTGCTTCCTTCCTTCTGTCTGCTGGGTCATACCCAAGTACCTTTATGGCTGCTGGTGCAGGCATCTCTGGTCGCAACCATCTTCTGGAGAGATTTGCACAATTTCTGCACGTTCACTCACTGAGTCCTTACTGAGCCCCTGCTCTGAGTTCTGTACTCTGTGGGCTGGCCTGTGGGGGACAGAAGACATAGAAAACACAGTCCCTGTTTTTGAGGAGCTGGCAGAGCTAGAACAAGGGAGGCAAAGAGACAGTCCAGTGAATAACAAGGTGTGCCTCACATGTTTCAGATAAGGATGTAATGGAGAAGGTGGGGTTCATGCTGAGCTTTGAGGGGAAGGGCAGGATTTTAAGAGTAGAGAGAAGGTGAAGGATAATGAGGGGCTGCCAGTTCAGCACCCACCTTGAGAGTCCTGAGAGTATCTCCCCTCCGATTGGAGGAGTCCCAGGGTACTGCACACGCACGGGTGCAGGGGGCTGTCAGGTGGCCTCAGTGCACCTCATCTGGCTCGTCTCTCCTGTGCCCAGCTCTAGGCTACACCGTCTCCAGCTTCTCTAATGGCTTCCCTGGCTGCCCAGGTGAGGGCCCGCAGTTCTCAGCTCCCCGGCGCCCCTCGACAAGCAGCCTGCGACACCCCTCGCTTGGGGAAGAGTCCACCCATGCCCTCATTGCACTAGATGAGCAGGTGAGCAAGCAGCTACCCTGCCTCTGCCGCATTGGGCTGGGTGGGATGGGCTCAGGAAATATGGCTGCCTCCTCCCAGTAAGGATCCTGGGGAGGGAGAGGATGTTGATAGGGTCCAATCCTGTCCCCAGAAAGGGAGGCAGCTTCCTGGAAGGATTGGAGGACCAGGAAGAGGAGGAAACTCCAGTTCTCTTTCTCTGTACTTCTCTTCATTCATCTGTCTTTTTTCTTCTCTCTCTCCTCCCTGCCCTTGCACCCTCTATGCTTTGTTTGGACTTTCCCCCAGTCCCACACCTATGTCAACACACCGGCCAGTGAGGACGACCACCGCAGGAGCCGGCACTGCCTGCAGCCCCTGCCTGAGGGGCGGGCACCCTTTCCCTCGCAGGCCCGGGGCCCGGACCAACGGGACCCACAGGTCTTCTTGCAGCCGGGCCAGGTGAAGTTTGTGTTGGGCCCCACCCCTTCTCGGCGGCACATGGTGAAGTGCCAGGGCCTCTGCCCCAGCCCGCATGACCCTCCCCACCACAACAACAACGAGGGCCCTTCCGAGTGCCCTGCCCAGCCCAAGTGCACCTACGAGAATATCAGTGGGGGCCTGCGGCGAGGGGCTGGCTGGAGACTGAGCCCGGAGGAGCCAGGCTGGAATGGCCTTGCCCACCGCCGGGCCGCCCTGCTGCACTATGAGAACCTGCCCTCCCTGCCCCCCGTCTGGGAGAGCCAAGCCCAGCAGCTGGGGGAGGAGGCTGGGGATGATGGGGACTCGAGGGATGGGCTCACACCCTCCTCCAATGGCTTCCCTGATTGTGAGGAGGACGAGACCCCACTGCAGAAGCCCACCAGCACCCGGGCCGCCATCCGCAGCCACGGCAGCTTCCCTGTGCCACTGACCCGCCACTGTGGGTCCCCTCAAGTCTTCAACTTCGATTTCCGCCGGCCGGGCCCTGAGCCCCCAAGGCAGCTCAACTACATCCAGGTGGAGCTGAAGGGCTGGGGTGGTGACCGCCCCAAGGGGCCCCAGAACCCCTCGGTCCCTCGCACCCCCGTGTCCACCACCCACCCTGCCCGCAGCTCAGACTCCTACGCCGTGATTGACCTCAAAAAGACCGTGGCCATGTCCAACCTGCAGAGGGCTCTGCCCCGAGACGATGGCACTGCCAGGAAAACCCGGCACAACAGCACCGACCTGCCTCTGTAGGGACAGCCCGTCCCACCACCCTCACCCCTCCTCGTCCCACCCCCACCTCACGCTCCTGTCCTCTGAACCCACCCCAGGGCATTGAGGTAGGACCAGAAGCTCCCCAAAGATATCAGCCAGCGAGTCTCCTGGTCTCCAAGTGGGAGAGAGAAGAGGGTCACCAGGCGGGGAGGGAGCCGAGATGCAAACTGTGAAGGGTTCCCATGATTGCATTTATCACCTCCTGTTATGTCCGCCCTCCCATTCTGTCTTGTCTCTCTGTCTGTGTGTATGTGTTTTTTGGTTGAAATTTTGAAGCATTTTGTACCTGTTAATTTTATTTATCAGTTTATTTTTCTATTTATTGTTTTAAATGTAATTTAACATATTTATTATTAATATTATAATTATTTTTAAATTCTGGCTCAGTGGATGATGTCATGTTCTTATGGAATCCTGTCTGGCAGGGTTCTGCAGTGGGAGTAGGGGAGGCCAACAGATGTAGGTCACGAGGGGGTCATTCTGGGAAATTTAGGGTGGTTCTGGTTTTTGTGACAATTCTGTGACCATCTCTTTTTCTCCTTTGGGAGGCCCTGGCCCAGAGCTTAAAATTGGCAGGGATGGATACTTTATGGAAGTAAAGTGACACACAGGGCAGCTGGAGTCCTAGATGCAGAAAGGGGATCTATAAGGAAAACCACCCCAATGAGGTAAAACCCTGATCCTCTGAGGCAGGCAGTGGGGGTGGCAGGAGTGGAGGTTTACCTTCGAAAGAACCCCTCACGGGTTCTCCCTTCTGCTGCCCGGCAGGCCCAGGGCCGCTGCACTCCTTTGACTCCTTGGCCCAGAGGTGAACCCTGGACACCACTGGGTGCCCCCAGCACAGCTAGGTCAAGGCTAGAATCTTTAAACAGGACTTTACTAAAAGCCCCAGGATAGAAAAGGAAAGAACACACAGTGTAATGTATAACTAGATAATCTGGCTTGCAAAATGTGACTTTCCCAGAGAACTGACCCCCAGGCATGGACTCTTGGGGCGCTTCCTACCCTACCACAATGGGGAGGGCCTCACAGAGCCACGCGGCAGAACACATCTGGAAGCCCGCGGTCTGCCTAGGGCTTTTGTTGTGAGGCTCCCTCTCCCTGTCCTGAGGTGCCTCTTTCCTGTTCCTCTTTTTGCCTGTCTCCCTTCCTCCAAGATACCATTTCTGTCTCAAACCCCTGTACAGTTAATCTAAAGGAAATCCAGTTTCCATGATGAGCCACTGAGGGCCTAGGTGAGGAGTGGGAGGGAGGTTTATCCAAGACTTAGGGAAAAGCCTTCTTGTCTCTAGTCCCTGTCTGTGCCTGGCTCCCAGCCGTGTTGAGCAAGCGGACCTGTTCTCCTCACCAAGTAAACAGGCGGGACTGGACAAGCCCCACCTGCCTCCCTACCCCTCTCCTGCTGTCCAGAGCACCGTTCAACTCCTGGGCCCCCTTCCCTGAGTGGGGATTGGACTGAGCAGCTTCCAGAACTCCTTGGCCTTTGGTGTCAGCTCTCTGTTAGGGAAATTGTCAATGAGGAATGGCCACAACAGGATGTGAGAGAGACCCTTCTTCTGGGGGCCAGCAGGCTCCCAGGGTGCAGCTGCCAGAACCCCAAAGCTGGCACCAAGCCCCTCTCCCCTTTACTTCCTTTTCATCTCTGGGCCAGAGGGATCCCTTGCTGCAGGCTGGATTCATTGCGTTGTTTTCCACACTGCGGTGCAGAAATGCCGCACCATCTGCAGCTAACTGAGGTAGCTCAATTCCGCATTCTGGGTGGCCTCCTCACATGTGACCCCCTATACCTCTATCTAGCCTCCATGGTCAGGAGCAGTGGTCTCTCCAAACAGGATGGCTGAGATGGGGGCAGGCCTTGGCCTGGCCATGCTTGTGATTCATGGGTCTGCTCAGGCCCCTCCTTACTGATGGACAGGTGCTGCCATGACCGAGGCAGAGGCTCACTTGAGTCAAGGGACCCAGATTCTGGTCCTGACACAGCCACTATCTTTGCTACCTTAAACATTTGGTTACTCCAAATGGGCCTCAGTTTTTGCACGTGGAAAACATGGTGGCTAGCTATGGGAAATAGTCAACAAGACGATGAACATGACACCACTTTGGAAAGTAGACAGATCTGAGTATGCTGTATTAACACCCCAACAGCCCCAGAGGAAAAAAATAAGTCACAACTCTTCAGTCCCTGAGACTTTGGGCCTACTGCTGCTCCTTTGCTGGACAATGCAAGAAGGAGCAGTTATTCTCTCTGGGGTCACCAGATCCTGGTCTGGCCCCCTGGGCTCCCCCTCTGGAGCAACTAGCTCAATGTAGGGCATGTCCCTGGAATTGGTTTTCAGCCCAGTGTGGCCGCCAACCTCTCCGTCCCTTCCCCAGGGTACTGCCTCTGACCAACAAGGCCTGCTGCAGGAATTTTCCTCTCGCAGGGAGGGTGGGGTACATGGGGACGGCTTTCCTGGCGGGAAGGGTTGGGTAGGATTGCAGCCCAGGAGTGCAACTGCAGCTCCTGTGTGGAGCCTGTCCTGCTGACACCAGGGTGTGGTGCGCAGTTTCCGTCACCACCATCGGCCAAAGATCATCACCAACATCGGGGCATGTTTGCTGAGTGCTCAGTTCTCTTCTTTAGAAGCAGGCCATGCTCACACCCCCGGGCTGCCCTCCGGAAGGGATGGGGCCCAACATCCTGTCCAGGAGCGACATTTCAGGTCAGACCAGGAGGGGCCCTCCCCAAGCCCACCCTCGATAATAATAGCACTTTACAGGGGTATAAACACCATGGGTTCTCCACAGGGCCATATAGACCTTTTGTCTCTTTCAGGCTCACTGGGCGGCGGGATTGTTATTTCCGCTGCACAGAGGAGGAAACAAGCCAAGAGGTGAAGCGACTTACCTCAGGCCATGAAGTTAATTAGTGGCTTGAGCCGGGGCTGGATGCTGGCCGTGTGTCTTTCCTCAACGACTGCTCCCAGCCTGGCCTGAAGGGGCTGCTCTCCCCCAGGTAGGCTTCAGGGAGAGTGTGTTGGGTGCCCCCTCTCCACAGGAGGCGAGGGCCAAGTCACAGCAGAGGGCCACATTCCAGCGCTCCCGCTCAGGAATCTGAATTCTAAGCCAGGGCCCTGCTGGCTTAGCAACAAGGTGAACCTGCTGTCCCTTAGGGCCTGCCCAATTGCCCATCCTCAACCTAGCCCCCTCTACTCGTGTGATTCCTCAGAAATGGCTTCCTTTCTGTAGGTAGGAGTGGCTAGGACAGGTGTGCAAAAACAGGCCTGACTGCACCTGTCCCGGCCTTCCTCTTCTGAGGAGCATCTCAGCCTTGAAGGAGGCTCAGTTAGGTTAGGTCGGGACCTCCCTGAGCTCTGGGGTGCTCTCTGACCAATATCTTAATATTGGGAAGCATACTCAGAGGCGAGTGTGGTTTATAAAGAAGTGCTGTGGAGGCCTGAGGTGGACAAGAGCTGAGGCAGGGGTGGGGAGAGACTTATGGGCCCCTCAGATCACAGAATCAGCATAGAACCTCAGAGCTGATGGGTCAGCTAGGACCATCCGGGATCCCTTTGACAGGATTCCTGGAGCTGTTTACCCAGGCACTTACTACCTCACGAGCCCTCCCTCCACCCTGGATATAATGAAGTTGCTACATTTTCCTCCCTTTGGACCCTAATTCTGCCCCTGGATCCACACACTTTCTGTCGAGGATGCTGGACTTTGAAACTTGGCATCACCGCTTAATAACAACTTGACCTCTTTCTGTCTCAGTTTCCTCCTCTGTCAACAGGGATAATAACAGTTCCTCCCCCATGGATTAAATAAGAGAATGTCTGCCCAGCATGTACCATGGCAACTGACCCATAGTAAGAGTTCAGCAAACGGAGGGTTTTATTATTTTCACCCAAAGATCATTCTTTCCAGCATAACAAGGTATCCATCCCTCTGTGCTCTAGTTTGATGCCAGAACCAAGCACAGCACCAAGGTCTGGGTGGCTACATCAGCCCAACACCTTCCTTGTTCTAGATGTTATACTTCTGCCTAATGCAGCCCCAGTTCACATTCACTTCACTGGCCTGACTGGCTCTTGGGACCTTAAAACCCAAAAAACCAAGGCCTTTTGCCATTGAGTTGATTCTGACTCATGGCAACCTCTTGTGTTACAGAGCAGAACTGCTCCATAGGGTTTTCTTGGCTGTAATCTGTAAACTGAAGAAAACACTCAAGTCTCGAGTTGCGATATTGAAGGATTCTATGGGCAAGATATTGAACAATGCAGGAAGCATCAAAAGAGGATGGAAGGAATACACAGAGTCACTGTGCCAAAAAGAATTGGTCGATGTTCAGCTACTTCAGAAGGTAGCATATGATCAAGAGCCAATGGTATTGAAGGAAGAGGTCCAAGCTGCACTGAAGACATTGGCAAAAAACAAGGCTCTAGGAACTGACAGAATACCAACTGAGATGTTTCGACAAACAGATGCAGTGCTGGAGATGCTCAATCATCTGCTCAAAAATCTGGAAGACAGCTACCCTGAAGAGATCCATATTTGTGCCCATTCCAGAAAAAAGGTGATCCAACAGAATATGGAAATTATCAAACAGTATCATTAATATCACACATAAGTAAAATTTTGCTGAAGATCATTCAAAAGAGATTGCAGGAAGTACATCGACAGGGAACTGCCAGAAATTCAAGCCGAATTCAGAAGGGGATGTGGAAAGAGGGACATCATTGCTGATGTCAGATGGATCTTGGCTGAAAGTAAAGAATACCAGAAAGGTGTTTACCTGTGTTTTATTTACTATGCAAAGGCATCTGACTGTGTGGATCATAACAAATTATGGATAACAATGCTAAGAATGGGAATTCCAGAACACTTAATTGTGCTCATGTGGAACCTGTACATAGACTAAGAGGCAGTCTTTCCAACAGAACAAGGGAATATTGCACGGTGTAAAATCAGGAGAAGTACGCGTCAGGGTTGTATCCTTTCACCGTATTTATTCAATCTGAATGCTGAGCAAATAAGCCGAGAAGGTGGACTATATAAAGAAGAATGCGGCATCAGGATTGGAGGAAGACTTATTAATAACTTGCGTCATGCAGATGATACAACCTTGCTTGCAGAAAGTGAAGAGGACTTGAAGCAGTTACTGATGAAGATCAAAGACTACAGCCTTCAGTATGGATTATACCTCAGAAAAAGAAAACAGAAATCCTTACAACTGGACCAATAAGCAACATCATGATAAATGGAGAAAAGATTAAAGTTGTCAAGGATTTCATTTTACTTGGATCCGCAATCAACACTTATAGAAGCAACAGTCAAGAAATCAAAAGACATATTGCATTGGGCAAATCTGCTGCAAAAGACCTGTTTAAAACATTAAAAAG